TTTTTTTCAATAATATATAATTTAAAATTATGAAATAGATAGTATAAAAACATAATTTTTTTTCATAAAGTTACATACTAACATATATCAAATCAATTTTAAATTTGAAACATAAAATCTATATGAATAAAATAAATTTAACTGTTAGTTTAATAGAATATAAATTGCACAAACAAAAATTATATACAACTAAGGAAAAAATTTATATAAGTTCATCAATATAACTAGATTTTGATTTCTTTTATATTTATTCTTACTTAGATAAAATTATCATATTTTTATAAGAATTAATCACAAAGAGAGAAATGATGTTTTTATCTGAGTCTTAAATATTATATATATATTTGAATTCTCCCTATAATTTAAACTCTAAAAACAAAACTTTGTAAAATATAAAAGTATATATACTATATTTAATATTTTTTTTTAAATTTTAGGGGGTGGCTACTGCCCTTGTCCTATGTTGGCTCATTTTTCTCTTTTAAAAAACAAGATGAAATTCCATAAGTTCATCTTAGTAATTAAGGATTAAAATTTGTCCAGCACTCGGTGGCTTAATAGCCACCCCTTGCAAAGACGTGCGTAAGACTAAAAACACTTGGGATCCAATCTCAAGTCCCCCATTCTCCATTTTCCTAAAAAAAGATTTCACACGGTTCAAAAAAAAATTAAGGATTAAAATTTTATTTCAAATTTTTAATTTTATTTTTAATATAAATAGAGAGAAATTTGAAAAAAAATTATTTTTAATTGTATAATTTATTATTTAATGTAAAAAAAAAAAAAAAAAGGCCGCAGGATGAAAGCTAGATGGTGATCATATTGAAAAAAAAAAAAAGAAAACAATATTTCTTCACTACAACGAGGCGCGTTCAAAAAATACAAGTCCAGCATTTGAATCTGGTGATCCGATTATTTTATATTAATAATAAAATAGCACTTGGCCTTTCGGGCCAAGCGGTTTTAGAGCTGTCTTGTAATGCATTTCTCCCTTCTCTCATAGTGGGTTCGATACCCACTTTTGTAAACTTGGTCAAAAAAAATATTAATAATAAAATATATCTTTTAACTATTGTAATTGCACCAAACCAGAAGTCCTTCTTCAGTCCGCACTCGCACTTCGGAATGACCTGCAAAGCCCCGAGGTGGAACTCGGGGTAGACACTCCGATGCTTAAGTCAGCAATAATCGGGGCTACCTTTA